TTGCTTTTTAGTAGGAATAAATTTGGAAAATTATTTCATTTTCAAACCATTATTTTCAGCATGTGCACCTGATATCTCAATCTTTCAAATCCCAACTAATCCATAGCGTGTTAGGTTGGACCACTAGAGTTATAATTAAGATCTAAAGCAGTTAGTTGTATATCACTTCTAATTAAATTATTTTAATAATTTAATTACTTCTCATTAGTTCTAATGAAGTAATTAGAATTGGCGGGAGTATAATTCTCAAACTATTACAAGCACGTGGCATAGAATAAAACTCAAGTCCAAGAGAGCAAGAGTTTAGTTTTGGGACAACAAAATCAAACACACTTGTTGACCAAGTTTAATACTTGTCGACCAAGTTTAATGGTTAGCTTCATCAAAGACAAACATATATGCATGGTCCCTTTATAAGAATAATAATACATCAACTGTTTATTCATTCAACTCATATCAGATTCTTTCCGGTCTGTGTCGTTTTGATTCAGATATCAGCATATAATTAATAATAACACTGTGATATGTTCATCTTGCTGAGCTTGACACGATCTTTTGCTTTGGTTTTAACTTTAAATTTGGATTGATCAGAGAAGCACAATGGGTGATCATTGTGAAAGTAAGATAAGAAGAAGAAGAAGAAGAAGAAACTGGTTTTCATCCATTTTCAGATCCTTCAAGGTCTGCTTCTGTGGTGGTGGTGAAGTGAAGACGTTTGAAGTCGAGGCTCATCAGTACAGGACATTCCCTGAGGCCGCCATGATTGCGGCTTCAAAGCATTTCTCTTCTCCTCACAAAGTGCGATTCAATTAATTAATTACTTACTATATATCAACGGATCAAAAAGATCTTTTGAACTACTTTATGATGAAGTTAGAGAAAATGACGATGAAACCTTCCTAAGGTAGGATTTTTATGTTATTGTAAATAAATAAGACATTCTAGCTATCACTTAATTATAGTATCAGCATCTCAGGTAGCTTTTACATTTAGTATTTTCTTCATCCCCTGTTATCAATCTATAGTTTTATTGCATTCAAAAGAAAATAACTCAACAAACTAGCTTAAAGTGTGAATTTGGTTTTTGTTCATTTTCAATTTTTCCCCATATACGCTTGTCTGGATTTCTGACTGGTTTGAATATTAGATGAAATTAAGATTATTGTTGAGAATAATGATATGTCATAATAGCAGTAATTGCTAGGCTGGGAAGCATCTCGAAAAGGAGGAGAATATAGTTAGGCAGGCCATCAAATAGTTTTAAGAGAACACATGTAAATGAATACAATATCATATCTTAGTTCAAAGCTTTAAAACATTGAATTAATTTATGAATATTTTTCGTTTGTATTTCTCTTTTTGACCCAACTGCAACTAACGTAGGATTTTTTTTAAATATCAAGTTAACTCACATTTGACATCTCAATAATAATTATTATATGTTAGCTGTTTCTCATTCACTATTTCAATTTTTGTAGTAAAACCCTAATCTCTTTCTCTTTCTCTGTTGAGGGACATGAGATCTCATATATATTGAGCAAGGGAAAAAGGAATTTGGCTCATTCACTTTAATTTCACTCTCTCACCTCACTCTTATGATCTGTTTCACCATCACCACCACCAACTGGATTCATAATCTTTGTCCTTATCATTGTGTACACACAGTTTTGGTGGTGATTTTGCGATCTAGCCATAGCTAGCTAGTATCATCATTTTCTTAAATCAATATGTCAGTTTATGTTCCCTTCTTAATTAATTCATTTTCGTCTTCTATATCAACCTTCTTCATCAAGATTCCAACTTAATTATTAATATACATTATATAAAATTTATAATTAAAAATATGGCCTGAGTGCACGGGCTGTTCAAATTCTATGGGAAATATATACATATACCGTGTGTGCTTAATTGCCTGGGGGTGCCGAAACTTTATATATATATATATATATACTCCCTCCCTTTAAAAATATAAAGTATTTTTAACCGAATCTTACTCTCCAATAAAGTAGTTATCTACTTTTAAACTAATCCTATTTTCTTATATTTACCCTTATTAAACATCCTATAATAAATATAAAGTCATTTATCAATAGGGACACTTTTAAAAAAAAGACAATAATTATAACTCAAAAAATTAAAAATATTTTATATTTTTTAATATCTAACTGCTCAAAAAATATTTTATATTTTTGAATAAAATATATATATATATATATATATCACCGAAGGGGTTCAAAAGAGAAACATCATTTTCAAAAGTAACCACTCACTTCGATTCTTGTTTATCTGGGTAATTCTCTAACAATATGCCAGTTTACCATTGCCTTGCCACACAGTTTTTTTTTTTTTAAATTATATCTAATGATTATTTTTATTATTTTAATTTATTTGTTAATAAAATGCATAAAGCCATGAAAACATCTTTGGCATATATGACTTAAGAAACTATCACGAGCCGCACATTAGAGGGCCTCACATTATAAATGTGATTTATAAGTTCAGCAAGCTTTTTTATTAACATATTAGTCTTTTAATATGAACTCTTTCTTAAAAATTATTCTCATAATATAAAAATTCTTATACGTCAACCGAAATGTTTCCAACTGAAGAACATATATCATATAAGCCTCATTTCAATATTGATTGTCTATTTTGGTCAAGGGGATCTTGATTCCTTTTGTACTATATTAAACCGAGTTATTTTCCTTATATACTCGTATATAATTTAAAGAGTAAAAAACATTAATAATTGACAATATTCAGATTGAGAAGATAACAAAAATACTAATGAATATATTGCGTGACCCTAGCCCATTCTTATAACTTTTTATTTTTATTGTTGATTTTAGGAAAAATATAATCATTGGTCCCTATAATTTTATCAAATTTTGCTTTTAATCCCTATAATTTTTTTAATGTTTTTAATCGTTGTAAAACTATAGAAATCTGAATAACAAATGTCACACAATTTTATTGAAACTATAGAGAATGAAAATGCAAAAAAAAAAAACTACAAAAACTAAAAGAAAAATTGGATGAAATTATAGAGATTAATGATTGTGTTTTTCTTTGATTTTATTGGTAAAAATATACAACACATTTTCTTTTCCAGAAAATCTATGTTTTTTTTCATAGGCCTAATAATTCTTTCACGTTATTTAAAGAGTCAATCTTGCTAGTTTTATATATTAATTAATAAAATTAAACGATATCCTTCCTTTGAATGTAAGAGTAAGACCATAGAATAAAAAATCATCAAGTAATTTTTATTCTAAATTAGTTCTAGGTTGAAACATCACTTTGACCAGATATTACTCACACGCTTAAGCAGCAAGGAAAGAAAAAATCCATGACATTTATTATTGACCAATCTTAATAATTGTTGACCAAGTTTAATTAGCTTCACCAGCCACAGATATGGTCCATTTATAAGAAGAGAACATGCACATGGCCAACTATATCTAATATATTCATTTAATTCAAATAAAATTAAATGTTGATCAGCAGCATATAATAATTAATTAACACACTGATATTTGTCTTCCTGAGCTTGAATCTTTCACTGAGTGTTTAATCAGAGAGAAACAAAATGGGTGAGAGTGAGAGGAAGAGAAGACGAAGAAGCTAGAAGACGGTTTTCATCCATTTTCAGATCCTTTAAGGTCTGCAATTCTATGGTGGTAGCAGCGAGGTGAAGACAGTCGAGGCTTATGATAATAAGGCTAGGCCTGAAACCGCCATTGTTGCTGCTTTATTCGAAGCATTGATCTCTTCTTTATCTTGGGAATATGATGTTGATTATATGTAGCTATATTGGGGATGTTGATTTTATCTTTAAATTCATTCATATTGTTCTAAGATGGGAAAGAATTGATGGAGTAAATATGTTACGTATAATTGATTTTTAATACGAAAGAGTTTGAAAATTTCTCTAATAGACTTGACTTGTTCTCATGAAGTCAGCTGCACTCTTATCTATACTTGTGAATGATGGAATTTTTTTTTACAAAGTTTATATTATATATAGATATAAATAAAGATTACAATTATAATACTCAATATCAAAATAAAATTAAGGAGAATTTTAGTTTAAAATTTATTTAGAAAGCTGTTGTTGTTGTTGTTGTTAACAAGAGCATTCAATTTCTGAAATTATTCTACACCACCAAAAAAGCTTCATAATAAATGCAAGGTTTTAGTTTCTAATCCTCATGCCCAAACGTCCATATTTTTTGTATTTAGTGACTCAATGAAGATGATTGGAAGATATTTAAATTGAAAAATATTTATATATTTAGCTTTATATGTTTAAAGTACTTGTTTTTAATTAAATTGAGATATGTGAATCTTTATAGATTATTTATTATTTCATAAAAAAATCTTATTATCAATATTATTAATATATTAAAATACGCTTTTTTGATTTGATTAGATAAAAATATATTAAATATATAAGATTAAGTATTTAAGTCTTACTTATTTAAGTTTAGGAACATAGGCCCTAAGATATTGGTTATGCATTGATCTCCCCAAGATATTGGCTAGGGAAAATGTAAGGAAATAAATGTAAAATTAGGACTTGTATATAACTTAAATTTCAAAATTTATAGCCAAAGTTTTATATTTAAAACTTTCAAGCCCTCATTTTGCATTATTATTTTTATAATATCCTTAGTTATATATCTTTTTTCTTGTTAGTTATGTATTAAGTGCTAATTGTAACATCCTGATTTTTTATATAATAAAGAAATTGTGGAATTTAGGTTTTGAGAAAAAAAATGATAATAATAGGAATTTATATTATTTGAGGTTATTTAGAAATAATATTATGGTTAGGTATTTAATTATGAATTTAAAAATTTAAATTTAAAACCACATAAGCAATATTTAGTTAAGATCTAATACATAAATAATTTTTTTTATGTATGTGTTGAAAAAAAAAAGAGAGAAGGTAGAAGGAACAAAAAAAGGGGGTGGAAGGTTGTTGTTTCTAAGTCCCACATTGGTTAGATGAGGGAAGAGAAGAGGTGCCTTCATGTATAAAAAGGAGGGGGTGTGTGCATTAGGAAGCATGAGAGGCTAAGATGCAATTTAGAGAAAATTGCAACTTTTGGCCCAAAGGTTTGAATAATTAAATTCAAACCTATAGTTTTTTTAATATAATTTTGGGACTCACAATCCCATTTTTATATTATTTTTCTCTCTTCCTCTCACGTTGCTCGGCGTTTTCTCACAAGGGGGGATTATTTTCTTTTTCTTCAGGTATGTTCTAACTTTCCTGTTTAGATTAGCATTTAAAAATTTATTTAATTACAAAATTAATTTTATAGTTATTTTCTAAATAATATTAGCTTTCTAGTGATATGATTATTTTGTAGGATAGAGTAAATATTTTGATTAGGATTTTTCTATAGGATAGTTAATCTGATGATATGATGGATTAAAAATATAGGTTAAAATTCTTAGGGATATAATAAATATTATAGAATATTTTCTTGAGGTTGAAACTCATGTTTAAGAATTTTTGAGTTAAAATCTAGATCTATATGGTTGAATTTATGTGGAATCTGAGACGTAAGGATAAACCTATGATTATTAAATATTTATTTAAGTATGAATAGGTATTTTTGAGGTTATAGAAAGGTGATTTGAGGCTTCAGGATAATTCTAAAATTTTTAATTTATTTTTGGATGAATTTTTAGAATGTAGAAGGATGAAATTGTGATACTAGAAGTGAATTGAGGATAAAAAAAAAATAGTTCATTAGGGTACGAGAATTTTAGAAAAGATTTGGGAAGTTAAATGAGGCATAAATCTTAAATTAGTGTTAATATGGACTATAGATTTAAGACTTTCTAACTCTTTAAATTAGAGTTATTTATTTTAATGTAAAATTAATATATAGTATTGTGAAATAATTATGTAGATTATATTGACAAAGATAGTGGTGAAAAAGGAGTTGTGAAGGGGAACTTGTTATTCAAGACACAAGGTAACCATTATTAATGTGTTGTGATGAGTGTGTTTGTGAATGGTTATGTGTTGTTTTGTTGTTTGGAAAAATTATGAATTATTGAAAATAAATACTGTATATACTTGTTTGAAATTATTGCCAAGTGGGTTAAAAATTTATTTTTATTTATCATGATGAGATATTATTGTTCGGATATATTCCTGTTTGGATATTTGAATGATGCATGACTTGTCAGGGTATTTTAATGTATGGTGTTAATGGGAATTTCTGTTCGGTTAATTATTACCACGTGGTAAGCCCTCATTGGACCCAATGAGTGGCGTGTCGCTTGGTCCAACTCACCTTTGGCGGGTGATTTGGCGTCCGAGCATGGTGAAAGGAGGAGATAAGGTGCAGTCATGCAATTAAATACTTGTTCGGTTTGTTTGAAAATATTGTTCGGTTAAATGTTTTGTGTGCCCACTTAGCAATCGCATGATTAGTTACATCCGCATGCATCATTACATATTAATTTTTGGTTACTGGGACTTTTAAGTCTCATTCCCCGTGGTTAATATTTTTACAGGAGCGAATCCGGCCGAGAAAGCACCAGAGGTGTAATTATGGTGTATGAGACACCATCTTTTACGTTGCCTCTTATTTTGGATTATACAATGTATCTTGTGCCAACTTAGGACATATCTTGTCTATGGAGCATGTAAACTCTAATCCTTTTTATTAAATGCATTTATATGTCCAAGAGGATTATGTCTGTCCCTTTTGATTCATGACCTAATTTAAATAACATGCTATGAGGATCATGTCTGTCCCTCATGGTTCTAATTGCTTTTTGAGATATTTTAAGACCTGTGGTATATTGTCTTGGATGTATCATGGTAGAAATTTTTCTACCATGATAAGGGTATGATAAGGGTTCAATGAAAAAAAAATGATTTCTTGAATTAATAATTTGCGAAAAATCGGTTTGTAAATTTGAGGGTGTAACATATTGGTATCAGAGCATATAGTCGGTTGGCAATATACATTGTTATGGTGCTTCTCATTGTATGGCCATGATATAGCTAGGCTAATTTTATTATTTATATCTTGTATCCTTTAGGAGGGGAGAGAAAATGCTTGTTACTCGTGGTAACTCAGGATTCCAACATGAGCACCTGCCACCGCCACTGCCAAATGAGGAGCCTGACTTGGCGGAATTAAGAATGCTTGTAAAAATATTAACAGACAAGGTTCAAGGATACGAACAAGAGTTGACGGAGCTAAAGAGGCAAAAGGTAACTGAAAATGGAGATAGGGCTCATGTTGAGAGTCATGTGGGGGAAGGCAATTCCTCACATCCTGCCACTCCGAGAGATCATGAGTCTAGAAGGAAAGAAATTAGGCAGGAGGAACAGAGAGCCCCACCGACCATTACTGATGTGTGGGAAACTGTTAGGAAGTTTAACCCTCCTACGTTTGATGGTAACCTTAAACCATCCGTGGTAGAGGAATGGGTGAAGAGACTCGAATCCATCTTTCGAGTAGTCACATGCACCAGCAATCAAAAAGTACAAGTAGCATTAGTGCTCCTAGTGAAAGGAGCAAGAGATTGGTGGGAGACAGCAGGGCCCAGGGATGATTCTACACTCACCTGGGAGGAATTCAAGGAAAAATTATTCAGGCATTACTTTCCATCAGAGTTAAGGTCTGAGAAGGAAGCGGAATTCCATGCCTTTAAGCAAGGGAACCTCGATGAGGACACATTCATTGCTAAGTTTCAGGAGTTATCTAGATACTCCACGTACCTGCAGTATAGGGATGATTCCGAATGGAAGGCTAAGCGCTTATTGGAGAAGGCTAGACCAGAATTGAGGGAACAATTGGCTCATCTAGATATCCGAGATTATGATGAAATGTGCATAAAACTACAAGTAGTAGCTCGCAGTAAGAAGGAGGTTGAGAGAGAGAAGAGGGGTTATTCATATAGTAGACCCCCAACCTACCCTCGACCCACCGGAGGCATTATGAAGAAAAACCATCAGGGTTCGAGTAGCTCATGGAACCAAGGAAGGCAGAAGGGTCCATTTCAAAGGGGCCAAGGACAGAGGAGCTATCATAGTAGTTATCACGGGTCACAGAGGAGCCCAACAGTATCTACCCCTGCTCCGAGTACAGCGAGCTCTCAACAGTGCACTAAATGCGGGCGTCGTCATTTCGGACAGTGCTGGGTCTGTTACATTTGTGGGAAACCCGGTCACATTGCAAAGTTTTGTGGGGACAACCAGGACTCAAATATGAAGAACCCTTCCCAACATCCTACTGTCTCTGGCCGTGTGTTTGCTCTTACTCAGGACACCATGAACTCCCCAGATGCCATTAGAGGTAACATCAAAATCCTTCATCATGATATTGTTGCACTATTTGATTCGGGTGCTACACACTCTTTTATTTCTGAAACTTGTGTAAAGAACCTTGATTTGCCTGTGTGTATTTTACCTTTTGATATGAATGTGTCTACTCCTGCGGGAGAATCTGTGAGGACCGCTAAGGCATGCCTTAACCTAGTAGTCGAGTTTAAAAATAGGAAAACAACTATGGACTTAATTATCCTACCACTGAGAGGTATGGATGTAATTGTGGGAATGAATTGGATGGCTGCAAATGGTGCTATCCTAGATTGTAGAGAGAGGTGTGTGTCTTTATCTTCTTTGTCGGTGACCCCAGTCGAGACTCAAGATCATGTTTTCTTGTCGGCGGCGCAAGTTGATAGATATATGAAGAAGGGTTGCCAGGCCTACATGGTTTTCTTCTCTATCCAAGCTGAGATTGATGAAGGCGTGAAGAATATCCCTATTGTCAAAGAATTTGCGGATGTATTTCCAGACGAAGTCTCCGGTTTACCCCGAAGCGCGAGGTAGAGTTCTCAATTGAATTGGTACCTGGTACAGGGCCAATTTCTAAGGCTCCTTATCGAATGTCCCCTTCAGAGTTAGCAGAACTGAAAAAGCAAATTGAAGAGCTACTTGAGAAGGGTTTCATCAGACTAAGTGTTTCACCTTGGGGATCTCCAGTTCTTTTTGTAAAGAAGAAGGACGGAAGCCTTCGATTGTGCATTGATTATAGACAATTGAACAAAGTAACCATCAAGAACAAATATCCACTTTCGAGAATCGATGATTTGCTGGATCAGCTTGTGGGATCCGCAGTTTTCTCAAAGATTGACTTAAGGTCAGGGTACCACCAATTGAGAGTAAGAGCAGAGGATATACCTAAGACAGCATTTCGGACGAGATATGGGCATTATGAATTCATGGTGATGCCGTTTGGACTTACGAATGCTCCTGCGGTATTCATGGATTACATGAATAGGATCTTTCGACCCTATTTAGATAAGTTTGTAGTAGTGTTTATTGATGACATTCTTATTTATTCAAAGGATGAGGAGGCTCATGGTGAGCATTTAAGAATCGTCTTGCAAGTTTTGAGGGAACATAAGCTTTATGCCAAATTAAACAAGTGTGAATTTTGGCTCCAAGAAGTAAAGTTTTTGGGCCATGTTGTGTCCAGAGATGGAGTTGCGGTGGATCCTAGCAAGATTGATGCAGTGATGAAGTGGGAACAGCCAAAATCTGTTACAGAGATACGAAGCTTTTTAGGTTTAGCAGGTTATTATCGTCGCTTTATTAAGGGATTTTCGCAAATTGCGATGCCCTTAACTAAGCTGACTAAGAAGGATGCCCCATTTATTTGGACTGACAAATGTGAAGCTGCTTTCCAAGAATTGAAAAAGAGGTTAACCACTACTCCAGTATTGACTATTCCTGACCCTGTGGTGCCGTACACTCTGTACACTGATGCTTCTTTAAAGGGTTTAGGATGTGTTTTGATGCAAAATGACCGAGTGGTTGCCTATTCCTCCAGACAGTTGAGACCACACGAGGAAAATTACCCTACTCATGATTTGGAGTTAGCTGCAGTTGTGTTTGCTCTGAAGATATGGAGACACTACTTGTATGGATCTAAGTTTCAAATCTTCAGTGACCATAAGAGCCTGAAGTATTTATTTGATCAAAAAGAGCTTAATATGAGGCAGCGACGATGGATGGAATTTCTGAAGGATTATGACTTTGAATTACATTACCATCCGGGTAAGGCTAACGTGGTAGCTGACGCCTTAAGTAGAAAGACTATTCATGCTGCACATTTGATGGTTCATGAATATCATTTGTGGAACAGTTTTCATGATGTTCCAGTAGATGTGATTGAACATCAAATGGCCGCACTCCAGGTAGCAGACTTTGAGAGCAAATTCTGGGAAGATCTCAGAGTCTCACAGCAGAGTGATGACTACTTAAGGAATATAAGGAAGGAGATAGTGGTAGGTAAGGCCCCAAATTTTACCATCTCTGAGGACACAGTGATGAAGTATAAAGGTAGAGTTTGTGTACCTAATGATCCAAGATTGAGGAATATCCTTTTAGAAGAAGCTCATAGGAGCAAATATACAATTCATCCCGGTATAACTAAAATGTACCATGATTTGAAGCGAGGTTGGTGGTGGCCAGGAATGAAGAAAGATGTAACTGAATTTGTTTCTAGATGTTTAACGTGTCAGAAGATAAAGATAGAACATCAGAAGCCAGCTGGAACACTGCAACCGTTAGATATTCCAAAGTGGAAATGGGATGATATTTCCATGGATTTCATCACTGGACTGCCAAGAACACCCTCGAGTAAGGATGCTATTTGGGTGATAGTAGACCGACTCACCAAATCAGCTCACTTTTTGGCGATCAAGTTTACCTCTACATTAGAGAAATTTGCTGAGATATACATTAAGGAGATAGTTAGACTTCATGGTATACCCTCTAGAATTGTGTCAGATCGTGACCCAAGGTTCACTTCAAACTTTTGGGGTGCGCTACAGAAGGCTATGGGTACCAGACTGAGTTTTAGCACCGCATACCACCCCCAAACAGATGGACAAACAGAGAGGACGATCCAGACTTTGGAGGACATGTTGAGAGCTTGTGCCATTGAACTACCAGGTAGTTGGGATAATCATTTGCCATTAGCTGAATTTGCTTATAATAACAGCTATCATTCTAGTATTGGGATGGCGCCTTATGAGGCCTTGTATGGAAGGAAGTGTAGATCGCCTTTGTGTTGGACAGAATTAAGTGAGAGGAGTATCATTGGTCCAGAAATTGTAGAGCAGACCACCCAGAAGATTGCAATGATTAAGCAAAAATTGCTAACCGCTCAGAGCCGACAGAAGAGCTATGCTGATAAGAGGAGACGGCCGTTAGAGTTTGAAGTAGGAGATCATGTATTTTTGAAGGTTTCTCCAGTGACAGGCATTGGTAGATCCATTAAGGCAAAGAAGTTGACACCTAGATTTATGGGCCCGTATGAGATCTTGGAGCGAATTGGATCTACTGCATATAGAGTTGCATTACCTCCACAGATTGCAGGTATCCATAATGTGTTCCACGTATCACAGTTGAAGAAGTACAACCCGGATCCCTCCCATGTTATTGAACCTGAAGAAGTAGAATTGAGGGAGAATTTGACCTTTAGATCCGAACCGGAGCGAATTGAGGACTTTAAGGA